GAGCCCGTCGCTGAAGCCCATGAAGGTGTCCTCGTCTGTCACCGTGCTTCCCATCAGACTCCAGTGCGTGAACCCATCTGCAGCAGGGCAGTGAAACGTTCAATAAAACAACGCACCTCTTTTTAAGGCCCTTTATTCCAGAGCGTGGGGCAGGACGCGGGCGTTAGCCCCTCACTACTACGGAGGACAGGAGCTTGCCTGCACACATGGCCAGTCCTGCAAGCTGCTAAAAGGCTTCGGCCAATATTGATCAATTAAGCCCAACACCCCAGTCAATTCCCACTTAGTTAATTGTTGGGGGGGAACCACAATCTCAATTTCTCAGACCTGTGATTCATTTTCGATAACAAAATAAACTCACTGCTGCTATAGAAAAAGCTGACGCATCTCGAATTAAGCACAAAAATGGTGAACTTTGGGAAAGTACTGTGAATCACCATGTCGTAGAAAACCCCTGGTCTCTCCACGGGCGAGAGCGACAACCGCAACGTGAGCAGGCCCTTCCTGCTCACTAGTCACTGTAGTGATTAATATAGTGCGATGTACGAGAGAATTAGTACAGGCTGTGCACTGCAGAAAAGGCGCAACGCAAACTGCACGCAGAGTTAACAAGCAGTATGTGTTGGCAAAACCGTCTCCAAGTCGAGAGCAATATTTCTATTGGATTAGAAGAGATGTGTTCACAAGCCTGCTGGTTTATAGTGCAATAGGCCCGCAACACGTCACCCTGCCTCGTTATGAATCACAGAACATGGTGCTGCGCACACCTGGAAATTTGGACTATTTTGTGATGCAAATTGGAGGTTGTACAAGTGTCTGTGTACATTTTTCCTTTCACATGGTTTGAATCGGTGCCAATTCTTTCTAAAGCCGATATATAAATATACTGTCGTTGATGGCTTGGACAAAGGAGAAGCTTTAACCCAGGGGCCGGGCAGGCGGCTCACCCTGTGTGATGGCCATGTGGTTGAGGCGGCGCAGGGCGAGGGGGGCGTAGGAGCTGCGCAGGAGCGTCAGGGCGTAGGCCGACAGCGCGGTGGTGTAGGGGTCCTCCGCCGAGTAGGTGTTGGTCTCCAGGAAGTGCTTGGCCTTGGATACCGCCCCCTTCTCTTCCTGTCGGGGGGGGGTCAAGGGAGCTATCAGGAGGAGACAAAAAACACCCGACACCCCGCCTGCCCGGTGCCAGCGCCTCACACCAGTGTGACACCACGCTGACCGCCTCTGACTGCACTACAGCTTCATGCCAGCGAAGACAAGCGTCTGGGATGAGTTCATCACGCGACTAGTCCTGATCATCATTAAACATGATTCATGAGGCCACATGAATTGCTCACGATCACACTGTGACAAACAGTAATTTATCTTCATTCCACAGAAAATAACGCACTGCTTCGTGTTTAACGACATTCAAAATATTGACGCCTTTTACCAGTGTGTTTTTATGTAATGAGGTTCCCCAGTTCTGAAGCTCAGTTTTTGTCAGTGTTTTCTGACAAAGGGCTCAAAAAATCTCTCTCTGTTTCTTTGTGGCCCAGGGTGTCTCCAATGGGTCGGGTTTCACAAAAAGCACCTCTCCAACGCCCAGGTCAGAACTTGCAGGGCCCACTCCCGAACGCGCCAAAAACCCCTCCACTTTGTGCTGCGGCTTTCATCTCTGCAGAGGGATCTTTTTTCAGGTGTAGACATCCTTCACATAAAAGCCTCCGGCTTTGAACTTAACGGTCTCATCTTTTAATTGTGGATCAGAGCTCGGAGTCGTTTGCTTTGAAGTGATGAATGGTGATGAATGGTTAAAGAGGTTTTCTTCCCCCCACTAGGAGCTCTTTGAAAAGTGGAAGTCTTCAGTCAACATGTTGCTCCACTTCTGGATGACGAGAGATCTTGTGTGTGTGTGTGTGTGTGTGTGTGAGAGTCAGGTGAGTCAGAGGGAGGAAGAGGAGAGAGAGGAGGAGAGGAAAAGGGCTGCATCCCTATAGTATCTTCATGCCTACAGTAGAGTGTCTGAGAAATGGCTTTGCAGACAAGTAAGACTGCAGACCTCTCCATGGTTTCCCTGCGACGATGCAGCAATCCACTGCGCAGGAACGCCCTGCCTGCGCAGATCTGCAGAGCGGCCGTCCCCACTCACCTCAGAGGACACTCCCGTCTCCAGCAGGGCCGCCACCACGTACGCCGTCAGCGAGATCTTCCCATGGATGCCTCCCTTCGACAGCCAGGGGAAAAGCAGTTAGCTTCCGCCTCCACATTCCTACTCACCCCCCCCATCTCTCACAGCCTTGGTCTGTCCGGCTCTGTCCTCGGCTCTCAGGCTCAACTGTACCTGTACATCACCCCCCCCACCCCTCCCCCTCAGGCTCGACAAGCAACACAAGCTCCGGATCACACTGCCGCCAGAGCAATAAAGATCAACAGAACTTTTAAGATCCTCAGGGGCGATTCAGGGCCGCAGGGGTGCCGGAGCCTGTCCCGGGGACAGGATGCACACAGAGCACACTCACTCACTCACTCACTCGGACCAGGGCCAGTTTTCTCAGCAGCCAATTAACCCAGCAGCATTCATTTGGACCATGGGAGGAAACCCCTGTGAACATGGAGAGGACATACAGACTGCAGCTGAACCCAGGGCCCCAGCGCTGTGACACAGACACGCTAACCACTGCGCCTGCTGATGCCCACATTTACAACTATTTATTGTTATTATT